TCAAGGTAGACCCAGATCAAGGTAGACCTAGATCAAGGTATGAGACGTTATCACAATTAAGTGTGGTAAAATGTCATGGATCCCACATCAGTAAGAGATAGAGTAGGTCTTGAGTTTATAAATAAGAGTTTTCTTCCACATATCAACTATGTCTTTGGGTTGGAAACCTAAACTCGTGACAAGTCTCCCCTTTGATGGGCGATACAAAAAAGATGAAAGGAAAAATTAAAAAAAATGGAGGATTTATTAAATTGAAAAACGAAAAAAGCCGCCGGCCGGGGGGCGTGGGGGGGGGGGGTGATTAACGGTGAGGGAGGGCAATAGCTTAGAAAGGAGGAGTATAATTGCTTTTTTTTTTTTCCTTTTTGATGTTTCATAAGAGGTTGGTTTGTGGGCATTGGTGTTTTTGTGTAAAACTGTGTGCTTTTCTGGCTCCTTTGGATCTTGGATGTCTTTTTTTTTTTTTAAGATTTTTTGGTTTGCTAAAAGCTTGGGACCGGTCAAATACTAGTGTGCATTAGTTTTGTGAATATTGTTGTAGATTGTTTGGGACTTCATTTTTACTTTACTGGAAGTGCTTTCTAGGTTTGATTAATTAACTTGCCCACTTGAGGTTTGTAGAGCTCTCATGAAATTAATTGCCGTTAATTGCTAGCATTTACTTTCCAGCGGAGAATAATCTTTTTGGCCTTGGGAACTCAATGCTGTGAGATTGATACACGTATGAGCATAGCTCGCTATTGCTTGGGAACTCAATGCTGTGAGATTGATATACGTATGAGCATAGCTCGCTATTGTTGTTTTACAGTAGAGTCATGGCGATCTAGATTTGGTTGATCTTATCCCTTACAAGCTGCTAAATTTCAGAATCAATAAAGTTAGATATTTGAGGTAATAGAAGCATTCCAAGAGCATACACCAAAAACAAAACGACCACAAGAAAAGGGAGATCGAACCAATTTTTGAAATACAACTTTGATAGAAAACTTTACATAATGGGAAAGCTCAAAACACAAACAGGGATAACTGTTGTTTCATAATTGAGAGAAACACTCCATAGACTGGTATTTGCTATTACACACTCAACAGGTCACTGCTACTTGAACGAAAAAGCTGGGTGTCCTGCCGAGTTTCCTTCTTGTCGCATCAAGGACATTTTGGCTTGAACTTGTTTAAATATTTGTTGCACTTCTCTTTGTCCTTCTCTGAGTCTCTTCTGTTCCTCACAAAGCATTGCCATCTCTGCTTTCAATTGTCTCATGTTGACCTTTGTTTTCCCCGTCCTGCTTCCTCCCTGTGTACCCAAACTTGCAACATTAGAATATCACATGTAATAACATTAATAAAGAAAAGGAAAACCAATACAGATCAAACAACTATGAATTGAGTTTCTCTTCCTATACCATCTGTTTCGTCGTTCCCTGGGTAGAGTTGCCCTCGCCCTCCATTCTTCTTACTTTTTCTCAGACTGATTAACAACAGATGCCACTAAATCTCTTCCAAGTCTTAGTTGGATCACTCGATCGGCTTTCATCTGTCTTTGGTGGCCAAGTTTAGCTCCCTATATATAGCGCTCACAAGTCAAGATGAAGAAGGGTCGCGCGGTTTGCTTAGGTTCTTGTGGAAGAAACCGTCTCAATCGCGCGACTCTTTTGATTTAATCGAAAGCCAGAGGGAAGTGTCGTTGGGTCACGCGATTCATTTTGAATTCACCCTCTGGGACCCATTCAACGTCTTTACGTAACGCTTATTATTGACTTTTTCAACTCTCCTCCTAGGAGAGGAAAAAACACTTACTCCTTGAATTATAACAGTTTTCTCTTTTTATTATTATTATTATTTTTGAATTTTAACTTCTATTGTATGAAATATGTTAATTAAGTCAATTTTATAAAATATTTATTAAGAAAACTATTTCATTTTAAATTTTTAAAAAATATTTTTCATATTTTTATCAATGACACATATAAAATTGAGTCAAAGTTAAAATAATTAACAAACAAAAGTCAGAATGTGACAAATTTTTTTGGAGCATAGAGAGTATAAGTTTTACTAAATACTCTTGACCAATTCCAGTGTTTAACTTTTCTTTTTAAGTTAATTCAATACTATGTCACAACATTTTAAAAATTATATTCTATATTAATCTTTTGTATATATTTTTACATTAAAATTATAGTTTATCCATACTAAAAAAAGTTTTTAAATAATTTCAAAAACACTCAAATCAAAGTAATTTTTTAATCCCGGTATCCAGTGTCTATTTGGCTCAACTTTTTTCAACATATTTACCTCTCAAATGCAAAAATTGGACTAAATAGAATTTTGAGAAACTATTAAAAAATTAACTTTTTATAAAAAATAAAATCTAAAAAAAATTCGAGAAAAACTCTAAAGAGAAGCTTTCTCTTCCTTTCTTCTAAAAATATATTAACTTTTGAGAAGATTTTTCTGTGCTCCAAAAATATTTCCATCTATTAAAAACAATTACAATATTACTCTATCAAAAATTACCCCTCTCAATCAATCTTCCTCTCCTCTCCCTCTTTTTGCAAACCACCCCTCTTCAATGCAAATAGTTGTTATATTAATGAAAAAATAAAAAATGAATTTTTTTTTGGAAAGTAACAAAATTTAGCATTTTGTAGAATATGTTGAGTTCTTTTTTCCTATTAATCCTGCTCTCGGTAAAAGAAGTAAAATTTTATTTTTGAATAATATACGATGTGATAATGTTAAAATATAATATTTTAAAAAGTCTTTTAATTATTTTAAAATATTTAACTAAATATTTATTATTTTATTACATATAATTAAAATTTTATTTTTTATTTTAAATTAAAAAATATTTTAATTAAAATATTATTTATTATTTTATTATATATCACATAATATTAATATGACATAAAAATATATTATATTAGATAATAACATGATATAATATTATTATCATATGATATTTTATATTTTTTACTCAACATCATATAAATATAAAATAATATTTAAAAAATTATTATTTATGAGTAAATATTTAATTTAAAATAAAAATATAAAAAGTTAATAAAAAATAATTTTTAAAATAATTTAAAAATTTTTAAAATATTATTACTAATGTTAATTATACGAATGTTAGAAACATATTGGCTCATGGGAATTTGGAATTTGGATGGATAAGGTTGAAGCCGTTAGTGCAGTATTAACTTTACCTCAGTAACGGTGTCTACCAGTAGGTTGTCAGATCTTACAAAATATCTTCTTCCCCTCCAAAATATCTTCGTTTTTTGGGAACCAACTTGTTGACTTCTCCTTTTGAAGAAAAAAAAGAAAGAAATACTTTTAAACTCAAGGCATATAAAATTCCAGTAATAAAATAGTGGAGAAAATTTATACTTGTTTCTTGCCTTTGTGCACATTTGGTATGCATATAGGTAAGTCATTCTCTTCTTATTCTTTTTCCATTTTATTCTTTTCTTTGGTTGGTTTTTGAGGTAATGGTTATTCAAGTTAATTTTTTTTCATTGTAAACAAAGGAATTCGTGAATACTAGAAAGTTATTTATTAAATATCCTTTATAATAATTTTAACGAAAACTAAAACATATATTAATTATTTTATTAAACAGCTTATCTATAAAAAAGAACTTATAAAAATAAATTTATGAAATAATTTTAATTTAATTTTAAAAATTATTGTTTTTCTTAATATAAATGATACTATAGTTTTATCTATAGTAACCTTATTAACTATTATTTACAAACTATATGAACTCATGAACTTTTAAAAGTAAAAATTAATTGATACATTGGTTTAGACATTAATGACGAAGACTGAAACTTTTTGATTAATTTAAGATTTACACTCAAGTGTTTAAATATTAATTTTCTTTTATATATATCTTTCAAAAATAGTTTTCTTTTATATATAAATGTAAACTATTTAAATTTTTGTAAAAAAAAGTGTAATTATTTAATTATAATTAATCTTACTATCTATAAATTACAATAATTAATCATATTTAAAATTAAGTCTAATTATATTGATATTCTTATTTATTAGTACACTTTTAAATATATTTTATTTACAATTAATCATTAATTTTATTCTTAACTGAATTTTAACTTTATTAATAAATAATAATATTAATCAATGAAATTTTGGATTAATTTAAACAATTAACAATATCATTTTCTACAATTAATTATTGTAATATAAATACTTATATGCCACAAGTGACAAGTCATAATGAATGGTCGCGCGATTTGCTTCCGTTCTCGTACAAGAAACCGCACGACTTCTAATTTAATCGGACAGCCGCCTCGCGCTCCATTTAGAGTTGTCCCCTTCAGGCCCCACTCATAAGTCTTTATCCAAAACTTCTTTCTTCTCTGTTTTAATTCTCCTCATAGAAGATGTATAAAACTTATTTCTTCTATCCTTTTATCAAAATTTTCCAAATTTTTTAATCAATTGTAGCTTATAATATATTTATTTAAAAATTAATTCTCTCAAATTTTTTTTAAAAATATTTGTACGTTTTTGTCATTGAAAAATATAAAATAATAAGAGGTTAAAGTTGAAAAATTTTAATTAACAAAATTTTTGCCATGGAGGTAGGGAGTAAGCTTTCATTTCTTTGTAATAAATTTATCACTTATTCATTTACTTATTTTAAATAACATCATTTTAACTTATAAAATTTAAAATTTGATGAGTTTTAGATTAGATAAATCTCAACTTTTGAGTTTAAGGTTTCAATTACTTGAGATTACATCATGTTAAGATCATTTGGGTTTAGACCACAAATTCACATATTTCAAATTTGAAACTTTGACATTTTTCAATGAATTCAGATCAAATGGAGGTTAGTTTAAAACTTAATTTAATCAATACATTTAGATTAAAAATATAAAAATTAAACAAATATATTATTCATCTCTTTTATATATTATTTTATTTTGCATGCATTTAGGTATTTCAAAAAGATTTTACTTTGCATTCCCACTCGTCCGCACCCGTAGTGCCAGAAAAATGTCAGCCCATATCAAGTCGGTGAGAAGAAGAAAATACATGTGGTCCCACCTATTGGGCTCGTCGCGCTATCGTCTGTATAATCGGTCGATGAAGGCCCGAGACGTGGCGCGATCATGACGCTTTTGCCCCTTTCACTCACTTGTTTTAACCTCAGTCTCTGTTTCGGGCTCAGCAGTGATCTGTCGAACTCCATCGGCTAACCAATGGATAACTTTGGGAAACCAAACTTTTATGGAAGCTGCGCGGGCGGCGTCGCCGGAGAAGATATCCTTAACAGCCTTCAGGGCGGCGGTTCTAACTGTAAGTTGTTGATTGCTTCTCTAATCCATTATTTATTCAAGTTTTTTGCTGTACGCTTACATCTTAATTTCTCTTAAAATTCGAAATCGACAAGTTAATTGCTCCAACCCTCATAGTAAGATTTTATGTTAAAATTTTCTCTACTTTTAACAGTAAAAATTGAGATGCTTTCATCTGAAATGTTAATTTCCCTAGATCAGGGCGCCATGGAAGCTCTACTACAACACATGGATCAAGATCAGTTTAATCAAATTGATGTCACAAGTAGTGGAGAGGCACATCAGCAGGCAACAAAAGAATATTGCTCCTTGCCACAAGGTTCAATTGTGTCTAAAGATGCCCATTCCCCAGTACTTGCTCCTAATGCTGACCTAGAAAAGGCTGAAAAGAAAAGAAAAATTGATCAAGCATATAGAGAAAGGTGCAAGGTAAATCAGTACCTCTTGCTTTAGTCAGTTTGGTTATTTGATTGAATTTATTGGCAAAGTCAATACTACAGGAACAATCTCTCTCTCTCTCAGTGTTCTTTCTTATGTACAGAAAACCAAAACGCAAATGATACGTGACTTGAAGACTTTTGGTGAAGAAAATGAGCATTTGAGGATGGAGAATAAAACTCTGAAGGAGGACAATGCTTCAATGACTCAAATGTTGCAGTCTCAAACGAAAGAGTTACTCCAACATAAAAATCGTCTGGACCAGTTGAAATTTGAGAATGAGAAGCAAAATGCTCTTGTACAAGTACTTTCAGACCTTGTAGTGAGTATCTCTCTCTCTCGTTCACACATACACACACAAATGCAAAATGCATGCTCGTTTATGATAATAATTCAATATAACTATAATTCCCTTATTCTTAATATAATTTTCATTAAATTTAATAAAAATTTCAAATATTATCGAAGCAAATATCTTTTTTCGTCAATCAAAATTGATATATATATATATATATATATATATATATTGACTTCACATTAATGGATTGGGGTACTCAGACTACGTATAAATAAAACAAGCATCTATTTATCAATGGTTTATTGGTTTAAGGTTAGATTTTTATTTTAAAATTTAACATAGTATCAAAACAAGTATTGCCTCATGTTGTCCCCTTTGTGATTAGACTTGTTATGCTTAAATGCAAAGTCTTTACTGCAAGATAAATCCATAGTTTCCACACTTGAAGTTCATATCACATCAAAAATCCATTATTGTTGCACAAGAGATGTGAGGCAGGTATTAAATTGTGATAAAGTAAATTATATATAAATTAAGTTGGGAGCATCCTAGATTCGTAAATATAACAAAAGTCTCTTGACCTATTGTCTAGTGATTTTAGATTAAATTTTTGTCTTAAACTTTAGTATTTTTATACTTTTCAACCTATGTTTGTCTTGTTAGTTATATATGCGTGTGAGTGCTGTGATTCATGTTATCTTAGAATTATAGATTTATCGTTAGTATATTTGGATCCTTCTACAGGTCAATTCTAATCTTTCCCACGAAAATCAGAAGCTGAAAGATGAAAATGCACAGTTGAGACAAATGGTCAAATTGAGTGGTGAGCCATTAAAGCTTGTGCAGGAGAATGGAAAATTACAACACGAAAATATGTTACTCAAAGTGCAAATAGATGCCTTATGTGGGAAGATAGTCGATGACAATAGAAATAATTGTGGCCGTTGATTGACTTGTATAAGGAGCAACGACTGCTGTTGCAAAGTTTCCTTAGAAACAGTAATGCACAATTTACTTGCTAACTTATCTCTTGCTTTTTCTTCTCCAATTTTGTCAAATATTTAAAATTAAATTTGCTTTACATTTTCTTTCAGGAATTTAGATTGATCCAACTCTTCGAACATACCTTCCCAACGTCCGTATATAATCAACAGCACTGGCTGATAAATGTCATTTTCAGCACAAAAATTCAAAAGTAACTAAGAGTTCATTATCAAGCAAAGGAGTTAAATGAAAACAAACGTCAAGGTATGATAATCCACACCTTTCATAAAGCTGCCCAAGCTCAGTTCAAGTGTTTGGACTTTGGAGTGGAAATTAGCATAAAAACTCGAGCCTAACTATGTTTTAGTGTTTGCTCTTTTTGGTATGTGAAAAAAATGATACTTAAATGTAGATGACTTAGCTCAAGAAGTCTTATGTGTTGTAAAGTAATGTAGCGTTTAATAAATCGAAATGGTATTTTTCTTTCCTGGTTTTTGTGGTTGCTTCAGCTGGTTTTGCGCAGGCTATCTTTTTGTGCTTGCATCAATTGGGTGTCATGCAGGCAGCTTTTTTGTAAATCCTTGAGGGCTTGGGAACCTTGTTGGTTTAGCTCAAATGGCTTGGTTGGCTGTCATGGGATGTTGACGTAAGAGCGTATGGGATTGTATTTCATTTAATTTAGTGTTTTTTTTTAATTTTAGTTGATTTAAGATTTATTTTCTTTATTCTATTTAGATTAGGATTCTTTTCTTACTTTTATTAGGAATTTAAGTTAGTCATGTTCTATTTAGGAATAGAACACCTATTTTATTCAAACATCTTGTTAATTATTCTAATTATATTAGATAAATAGAAGTAGAGTTTTTTTAGGATGTGGGCCTATAATACTATAAATAGGACTCTTAAGATTAGTTATGGGACATCAAAGTTGAGAGTTAATAAATAATATTTTCTTAAGTAAGAGTGTTTATTTCTCTAGGCTCTTTTAAAGAGTAAGAGGCTTTTGCATCTTTGGCCTAGCCAACCAAAGTGGGATTTTGTCTATTCTTCACCTTAGCGAGGTTTTCTAACTTTGCCAAAATTGGTGATTCACCTTAATGGAGTTTTTAACCTCGCCACGATTGGTGTCCTTCACAACGCTAGGTGTTTTTACAACACCTCGGCGTCAGTTTGGTATCAGAGCGGGAAGATCATTATTCGTTGCGTAGTTTAAGTTTGTTGACGGGTTTCGACACTTCTTGTTCGGGTAATTCTATTTCTTTGTTATATCATTTTTTTCTACATCACCACATCATCATCACCATACAATAAATATGCTGTCAAGATGTCAAAATCGTCAAAGAGATGATCACGAGATCGAGATTGTAGAATTACGTCATCAAATTCAAGAATTACA